ATAATACTGAAAGTTAACATTAGGTGTCAGTATTTTACATATTATTTAGTGAGAGAATATCAAGTGAAAGTTTCGGTGGGGAAAAAAAAGAGACTATTACAGTCTGCTTTTTCAAATGCTTTAAGTTATCACAGTTAGAGTAATATCAGGAATAATTATGTGTGAAATAATTAATTGTATATATCCCGAATGTTTCTTTCTAGTTACATCTCTGATTTAAAACTTAGTATTAAGTACTACTGCCTTTTAATTGTGACAACATTTAGTTCTGGGATTGTCTGAAGAAATGACATTTTTCAAATTAAACTGCAAGACATGAGTGTCTGTGTATGACAGAATATTGATACCCAGGTAGAGTGACAAAACACCTGCAAAAGGAAGGAAGATAAATGTGAAGATGTAGATCTCTGGTTGTATGTGAGCTCTCTCAGCACGACATAATTTAATACCATACAGATCTCTCAAACTCACTGCAACTGTTGAAAACATGAGGGAAAAATACTATAGGATCCATTTGTGCGTTTTTTTCCCCTGCTTTGTTATGGGAAGGCTAAAGAGAAGACAAAGTCCTTACATAAGCAGAAAGGGTTTTTTTTGTTTTCCAAAGGGACAGTACACTATGAGTGAAGAAAAAGGTATGACATATAGTTATCTTCTCATCTTAGCTTGTTGCCTGATTGGGAATGGGAAGGACATGACCCATCTGAAGAGTTTAAGGTACAAAATATTGGGAGCCCCTGGTCTGAGTACTGCAGAATCCACCTTGATTTTGTTTTATCAGCAGAGTATTATATGTTGGTAGATTAAGAAAGTAAGTTGATAAGAGAAAGAAAGGGAGAAGAAAACCAGCCTAATTTTGCCCTGTAATATGTTAAGTTCTGGAAAAAAGAAAGGATGGAAGATAATGAAACAAAATAATTAACTTTTTAAGCTTTGTTACTTTATGTTATGATCAGGTTCCCAAATCCACTTGAGCACAGTATTTCTCTGTCACATTCTGGCCTCAGGGGTAGGGATGGGCCTGGGTTGTGTTCAGAATGGTGAAAATAAACTTCTAAGGCTAAATCCATGGAGGGGCCTCACAGGATGTGTAGACATCAAAGCAGTGGTAGCAATATCATGAAGACATGGCTGAGGTAGGTGTGTTATTTCATACACTCTCTTACAAAACTCACTAGTTCTAGATGCAGTCAACGTGTCATGATCTAACGTGTTTCAGAGGGAGCTGACCTGCTCAGAGACCCTTGAAAATCTCAGCAAAATTCCCATCTCAACCTCTGGGCACCCAAACTCATGACAATATATTTCTGAAAAGCCAGTTACTCTCTACGACCAGCTGAGAGACAGTTTTGCATTGTAAGCTTAAACTTTTGTCAATATTTGTGAAGTATATTTAGAAAGCTTATTCAGAAATGAATAAGTTATAGATCATTAATTCATACTTTCTATATTCAAAGTTTTTATTACCTAAACTTACTCTTTTAAGCATCATTTTATGTTTCTAGTTAAATATAAGTGAGAATTGATTGGAGTATTTCTCAATGGAATTCTATCTTTATTTCATCATAATTGCTTCATATTTGAATAATGACAGATGAAGTACTTCATTCAATTGCAGTTTTAAGGCTTTGAAGTCACAATAGCAGCGAAGGATTTAAATCCTGAAGCCATTATTATGGCAGAGAAGACATCAGGGAAAAGCAAAACTTATGGTCATGTAATTTTCTAGACAGAAAGAGACTTCTGCGGTTGCGTTTTTTTTTTTTCTTTTTCTGGACATCTTGTTAACGTTAAAAGGATCCACTAAACTTCAGCAAAATGAAGTAGCTACAACTTCTAGCAAAACAAATGGCTTCCATCTAGCCTGGAAGAAGACATTAGAGACGCTGAATGAGAGCCCATGCTGTAAGTAAACTTCTGTAGTTATTTTGCTTTGGAGCTAGCTACAAACCATTTAAAATTCTAGGCAGCTGCAATACTGTATTTCACCAATAAAGAGTTCATTAGATCTTTTTTCTCTCTGACATTTACATCTAGTCCTGAGTACATGTTAATACTCCAAGGTATGAATTTCAAAGTTCCCTTTATCTTTGTGTACAGTTTTAAGCAATTAATCAAACGATAAAAAAATAGCTTTAAAAATAAGAAACGAATTGTGAATTTAAAGTATATGTTCAAAAAGTTGCTGCATTATAATTTGTGGGGGACAAGGCCTCTTATCAACTGAGCTGAGTGCAGAAGTTCTTTTTTTTTGAAAACTTACATTTTATTGAAGGATTTTGAAAAGATCATCAAATTGTTAAAACATGACCGAGTCGTATATCCAGGATAGTTCTTTCTCCTAAGAGACTACATCAAAGTGGGAGAGACATAGAAAAATCATTATTTAATAAGTTCAAAATGACTCCCATGTGGGGCAAGATTTATACAGGCTTCTGAAATAAGCATGGGGGCAAGCAGCAGTGAAAACCCTTCATTTGAAATAAAAGCAAATGGCAGTCTTATCATCACAGCACCAGGTATAAATATGAAGATATATATGAAAACTTCCAATTCTTGCTTCATAGCAAAGCACACTCTGAATGAGAGCAAGCATCTGAGCACTAGAGATACCACTGCAGCTTGAAAGGAATTGTACCTTCTGGGATGCCACCCACCCAGCGGAGTATAGATTGTGTAGATACCTATATAGATTGCACCGTAGCTCATGGTCTCACCTATTGCAACACAGAGCAAGTTCCCTGTTGCTGGAGAG